AGACCTAAATGTTTTGGAATAACTAAAATAGGGCTAGAACTTGCCCAATGAAGGAGGCTCCCTGCAGAGCCTTTGCATTGCACAAGACCATAACCTTCTGAGGTGGGACATTCCCACATGAAAGGACAAGCAAACCAGTCTGGAGCAGCTAGAAGAACAGAAGATACTTCTTGAAAGAAAGACTAGCAGAAAAAATAAAAAGGAATAACAGCAGTCCAATCGACTACTACAAGAACAAGCAAGTTATTCCCCAGGGAGCCATCAAGGCTCATAGTCAGATCCCCTCAAGGCAAACCCCCTTCCAAGACTGAAATGCAAATGGAATACACTAGTAGGCACATGGTCCTGCTGCTGACCATGCTGGTCACCGATAAGGGGAAGAGAGGGAAAAACAGCAATGAAGTTGTGACCTAAGTCCAAACACATTCAATTGTTAAGTGCTGTCGAGTCGGTTCCGACCCATAGCAACCCTGTACAGGGTTTGTACAGGGTTTCCGAGGGTGTAAATCTTTACGGGAGTAGAAAGCCTCATCTTTCTCCCGCGGAGCGGCTGGTAGTTTTGAACCACTGACCTTAAGGTTTGCAGCCCGATTCGTAACCACTACGCTACCAGAGCTCCTTAGACTCCTGTTAACCTGGATTGAGACCAGGTTAACAGGCAAGGACATGGCCCCAGAGGACTAGAACAGAGCTGCTATAAAGAGAGGGGGGATGAACAAGAACACCCATACTTGCAGATAGTACCCATTTGACCTGGCATCAATGGCTGGATGATCAGAACACGACTAGAGGATGAAAGAAGAGAAGAAAAAAAAGGAGCAAAGCACTATAAGTGGATAATCTTTACTTATGCTTGTGGACACGGTATGACAAAGGAGGAGACAAATCTCTACAGTGAGGATCATTCTCACATGTCTACACAGTGTTGACAGGGAGGGGGAACTTAGACACTGGCTACCCAAAATGGGAAGACTACAAATGCAAGAAGTAACTGGCTTATAAGCTTTCAATAGGGAACCTAGCTCCAGAGGATACAGGGAAAGGTAGAACCTCCACTGATTTGTTTCCAACCTGTCTGGATGGGTTAATAAAAGGTGAGGGGGAAAGGACTCCTGTGGTTCAATAGGGAATGATTACTATCAGGTCTGACAGTGAGTGTTGGAAAGGTAAATGTAAATGTTTGGTAACAAAAGGAGGGAAGCAGCTGATTTTGCAGTCCAGGAGTGGAGATCCCTAGAACCATCAAGGGAGAAAAGCGAGTGCAAAACCATGTCCGGAAAGGCAGTGACACTAGGGATGGAGGCAGATGCAATGACATGGACAGAAGGAGCGGCTGGGGACTCTGGACTCAGGGAGGGAGACGGGTTGTGTGCTAGTGGCTGGGGGGGCAGGAGTGTGGGGTGTACCCTTTGGGTGTTTGATGATGCATGCAGGGGATTGTGATCATTGTAATGAAACAAAGTACGATAGGATGAATATAAAGATAATGTCACCCATGTAACCTAAAACATAATTCACAATAAAAACTTAATAAACAAAAAACAAACAAAAACATTATGGGTTCTACATAGGGTCACATAATAAATAATTGTTGCTGTTTGTTGTTAAGTAAGTTATGTCAATTCTGACTCATAGTGACCCTTTATAGAGTTTCCGAGGAGCAGCTGGTTTGAACCGTCCATCCTGTGGTTCACACACAGTCCAGTGCTGATACTACAGTGCCACACCAGGACTTTTACCTCAACACAGGAATTCTGACTCTAAAGGCACTGTGGACACTAAAGCATCTGGTACAAAATAAGTTCTGTTTTCTTTTTCCAGAAAGAAATAAGCAAAGAATCAAAGATATAATCTAAAAGTCCATTTTAGAGGAAAAAATTCCAAGTGACTTACCGTAAGCGTCATCCTATAGTTCAAATGAAGATCTGACACACCATAGACATAAAATACATTTTCATCTTCAAAGCCTACTGGCAACAGTGGAGCAAAGAAATGCTGAGCAAAGTAATGAAGCATTTTCCACTTTCCTCCATACTCTGAAAATAATTAAGAAAGTTAAAAGATGGCAGGATCACGGACTAAGAGAGATTCGTGTTCTGCATGATCCAGTTAGATGGTGATTCTAGGGAGTGATCATATAAGTGAAAGAAGGGGATTCCTGATTTTGTGGGGGAGATACTTTGTTAACATGCTGCTAACTCAAGGTTGGAGGATTTTGTTCACCCAGAAATACCTTGGAAAAAATGCCAGGTAGTCCTCTTCTAAAAAATAAGCCATTGAAAACCCTGTTGCAACAATATGAGAAATGTGGTACTAAACCATTCCTCTCATGACCCTCTCTGCTTCTCTATTGGGTTCAATAATCCACTACAATGGTCACACAGAACTTAGACACTATATTTATAATTATGGGGTTTATTAGGGAAGTTGTTGTGAGGTGCCATAAAGTCGATTCTGACCCATACCAATCCTATGCAGAACAGAACGAAACACTGCCCAATCCTGCTCCATCCTCACAATTGTTAAGCTTGAGCTCATTGCTGCTGCACTGTGCCAGTCCATCTCATTGGGGCCCATCCTCTTTTTGCTGACCCTCCACTTTACCAAGCATGATGTCTATCTCCAGGGACTGGTCCCTCCTGATAACAAGTTCAAAGCATATGAGACAAAGTCTCATCATCCTGGCTTCTAAGCATTCTGGCTGTACTTTTTCCAACACAGAGTTGTTTGTTTTTCTAACAGTCCATGGTACTTTTAATATTCTTCTTCAATGCCATAACTCAAATATATCAATTCCATGGTCTTCCTTATTCATTTTTCAACTTTCACATGTATATGAGGGGATCAAAAAGACCATGGCTTTGGTAAGGTGCACCTTAGTCCTCAAAATTTGCTATTGAACACTTTAAGAATGTCTTGTACAGCAGATTTGTCTAACAATAATACATCATTTGATTTCTTGACTGCTGCTTCCATAAGTGTTGATTGTGGGTCCAAAATGAAGTCTTTGATAATTTCAATCTTTTCTCCATTCTTCATGATGTTATTTATTGGCCCAGTTGTAAGTTTTTGACGTACCCACAGGACACGCCACACCAAGCTTCAGTCTGAAGGCACTCAGCCCTAGCGCCATGGGTCAGCAAACCTAGCTCCTGGAGACACTCCACTCTACAAGCAAGCTTCCTGTCCAATGTCACTCAGCTTTACTTACTCTGTGGGCTGAGAAGCCCACTGCTCTGTCTCATACTCTGGTTCTTGGTTCTGCTGCTGCTGCTCCTCTACAACTCCTGTAGTGTCACAGTTTTTTGTCACTGAGTCAAGGAGGTTCAATGTGTAGGAATATTGAGTCCAAAGGATGCACTCCACTCCTGGATTTTTCTTATTGATGGTAATGAGGTCCCCCCCCCCCCCGCTTCTGAGATGGTTCATTTTATAGTCATGCTAGAGTTTCAAATGTCTACAATTACAGTGAACTCTCCTAACATCCACAGCTGAATCATGTAATCCGATGAGTATCTTCTTCCTTCACTTATCTAGACACAGCAGGACATAAATGTAGTTTCATGGGAATTACAGATTAAGGCTAGAAGAAACATTAGATAATTCAGTACACCACACCTATGGAGCACAATTCTACTCAGACACATGTGGGGCACTAAGAATAGGAGTTGACTCCACAGCAACTGGTTTTATTGAATGAGCCAGGCATGGTTCCAGGAGCATTCTGAACACTCTCTCATGTCATCCTCACAATGTTTGGTGAAGAGGCATCAGCATTCCACTTTATAAATAAGGAAGCAGAGGCTCAAATGGTAAAGTCAAATATGTATGAGACACTTTCTGAGTAAACCAAAACAATCACCATATAAAACATACCTAGCAACTGACTTTGCATAGTCAATAAAGCACAGGTAAACATCTTTCTGATATTCTCTGCTTTCAGCCAAGATCCATTGGACATCAGCAATGATAGCCCTCATTCCATGGCTTCTTCTGAATTCAACTTGAACCTCTGGAAGTTCTCTGTCAATGTATGATTGTAGCCGTTAACAAAAAACTTTAACAAAAGTTTAACAAAACTTTACTCTCATGGGATATCAAAGAGATTGTCCAATGATTTCCGCATTCCATTGGGTCACCTCTCTTTGGAATGGCATAATATGGATCTCTTCCAATCAGTTGGCCAGATAGTTGTCTTTCAAATTTCTTGGCAGAGATGAGTGAGTGCCTCCTGTGCTGCCTCACATTCTTGAAAGATTTCAATTTTTGTTCCATCAATTCCTGGTGCCTTGTTCTTTGCCAGTTCCTTCAATGTGCTTTGGACTTCTTCTTTCAGGTTCATTTGCTCTTGATCATATGCTACCTCTTTTTCATAAACAGCAGATGACTCAGACTAGATTATTACATATGATGCTTATTACAGGGTCACTGTTGTTAGATGTCTTAGAGTTGGTTCCAACTCATAGAGAACCTGTATAGGATTTCTGAGGCAGTAAATCTTTACAGGAGCCAATGGCTTCATATGGCGTCGAGTAGCTGGTGGGTTTATACTACTAATGTTTTGATTAGTCCAGTGCTTATCCTACAGCACCACCAGCATTCCGTATTACAGGTTTAAGACTTCATTGTGGTTTTAGATTAAGACAACAAACACACTACCCTCATCAGATTAGGAATTAAACCAAAACATCTTATATACAGACACCCTCATTTTCTAATCAGTGACATGGTTTGGATGCCAACATAATACTACATATTAGCTACTAAATTACAGGCTAAACAATGTAATTTCTGGCTTTGTCATTAACTCTGTGACACTTGGGCAAGATCATAAACCTACCTATGTGTGAGAGATAAGATATTCTTCAAATGTTCATTCTTGTTCTCTGGATTATGTGAAGAAAAACATGGCATCAGACTTGGAAGAAGACTCGTTAACAAACTGTGACATGCAGATAATACAACCCTGCTTGCTGAGAGCTAAGAGGACTTAAAATATTTACTGATGAAGAACAAAAATGACAGCCTTTGATATGGATTGCACCTCAACGGTAAGAAAACAAAAATCCTCACCACTGGACCAATAAATAACATCCATATAAGTGGAGAAAAGATTGAAGTTGTCAAAGACTTCATTTTGCTGGCATCAACCATCAAAACTCATGGAAACAGTCAAGAAATCAAACGATGTTTTGCATTAAGCAAATCTGCTGCATAATAAGACATCTTTGAAGTGTTGAAGAGCCAAGATGTCAGTTTGAGGACAAAGATGCAACAGAACCAAGCTATGGTATTTCAATAACCTCATATGCATGTGAAAGTTGGACAATGAATATGGACAATTGTGGAAGATTTGATGCATTTGAGCTATGGTGTTGGAGGATAATATTAAAAGTACCATGGACTTCCAACAGAACAAACCAATCTGTGTTGGAAGAAGTACAACCAGAATGCTCCCTGGAAGCCAGGATGCCTAGACTTCATCTCTCATACTTTGGACATAGTGTTAGGAGGGACCAGTCCCTGGAAAAGGATATCGTGTTTGGTAAAATGGAGGGCCAGAGAAAAAGGAAGACCCTCAACAAGATGGATTGGTACAGTGGCAGCAGTGATGGGCTTAAATGTAGCAATGACTGTGAGGTTGGTGCAGGACCAGGCAGTGTTTCATTCTGCTGTGCACAGAGTCGTTACGAGTCAGTATCAACTCAATGATGCCTAACAACAACATGTGGATTGCTTTGGTCAATGAGATATTAGCAGATAATATACAAGTAAGAGCCTGAAATGTGTTTGTATATTTTATGTGTTGCTAAGAGGAAAACTTCCTCTGAGGTAACTGCTGTTCTTGCTACATGGGCCCCAGACTAAATACACGTGAACCCAATTGGCAGTGAGGAGCCAAACTCAACCAGACCACAATATGAAGCAGAATCTCCCAACCAAGCCCAGCCTACATTAGCTAACCCCAGTCACATGAGTAAGCCCAGCTGAGATCAGCAGAGATGTCCCAGACACTTTGCAAATGCATCAGAAAAAAATTGTTTTATGTAGCTATTGAGGCACTAGGGATCCTGCTGTGGTGATGTAGAATAAGCACTGGACTGCTAACTGCAGTGTCGATGGATCAAAACCATCAGTCACTCCTCAGAAACCCTATTCAGAAGAGTTGCTATAAGTCAGAACTGACTCCAAGACATTTATCAACAACAGCTAAGTGATACAGCATTTCTTCTTAAATTATTTCTCCTTTTACTGTGGATCTAGTAACCTGTAGTATTATCAGTACAAGTGTTTAATAAAGAAAAATGAAAAACACTAGGCAAGTTGTAAGATAGAAGTTACTCCCAAATTAAATTCACTCTACCTAGATGCTTCCTTAAGATCCTTTGAAGACTCGAATACTAACTCCTTAGCTAATATTTCATTAGTTACCTTTCCAAAGTCATAAATAAGAAAGTAAACCTCACTGGTATAAATAAAGTCACTGTTGTTGTTATTTACAGTCAAGTTGACCCCTGGCTTATGATGACACCACACAACAGAACAAGAAGCTGTGAATTGTATTATTGTAATCCAGAGGACTTTCATTGACTGATTTTCAAAAGTAGATAACCAGACCTTTTTCCCTAGTCTATCTTAATCTAGAAGTTTCACTGAAATCTGCTCAACATCATGGCAACATGCAAGCCTCCACTGACAGATAGATAGCAGTTCCTCATGAGATGAACTGGCAGGGAATCAAACTCAAATCTCTTGCATAGAAGGTGAGAATTCTACCACTGAGCCCCCATTGTCTTTAAGGTAACTGTACAAAGAATTAACTGATGCAATGAGAATATTTCCCCTTCATTGTAGCAAATATTTATAAATATGTATGTATTAACATTTTTATACATAAATGTTTATTGTAATCATCTCAAAGGACAACTCAGTCAATAATATAGTTCATAATGATAATGTTCTATATTCTAGTTTGTTGAGTAGTGTCTGTGGGGTCTTAAAAGCTCATGAGACGTTACCTAAGATACAACTACTG